TATATATTTATATATAAATAGAGTAACGAAACATTTTCTATTATTTCCCTAAATGCCATTTAAATTTCATATTCAGCTCATATTTGAGAGCATCATTAATATTCGCAACATTCTGCATACGTTTGTCGGCACGTTTATAAATTATTTCTTATGTTAATTGCAAAACGGGTCAAATGTAACGCGTGGCCGACTAATAACGGACAAACTAAGCACAGCCACAATTGCAATTGCAATGGCAACGGCAACGGCAACAGCAACAAACAATTTATTAACAACTAAAGCGCAGCGTGCCTGTCAAATGTCAACTCGGCCATAGAAAGTTAAACAACAAACAAAAGCAACAACAAGCAAAGCAACAACAATAATAAGAACAACAACAACAGCAATAACTGTAATCAATTGTTGTTCAAGCAAAAATCACAAACATTTGCACCGTAATTACCTAGCATAGGTGACACGAACGTGTGTAGGAGAGAGAGAGAGAGGGAGAGTTGCAGAGTGTGTGTGTGTGTGTGTGCTAGCTGAAAACTTTTAGTTAAGCAAGAGCAATAACAAGAGCTCAAATATTTAGCTAGCTCAAACTTTAGATACTCTCATAGAAAACAATTGTTATATATGTATTTATGTTGATAAATAGAGGCAAATAAAAATCTATAAATCTTAATATATTTAAAAAATTTAATTTAATTTTAGTAAATATGGTGAAAAATATAATGATTTTACATTTTAATATACTATATAAAACAGCCTATGTTTATTGACATTTTCATAGATTTTTATAATGAACACAAAAGCATATAAACTAACAAAAATAAAGATTCCACAAAAAAATAAAAATTTATAACTGAGCAAACTTATATTCTATATTCTATAAAGTTGACTTCATTTTACTTCGATATTATATTTCACATCTTCCATTATCAGCTGCTATTAACAGATCACCAAGTACTCTATATTTTTGCCACTATATACATATATTCCCCTATATACCATACTAATACTCCATTCGACCCCATGACTCCAAGCATGCCCTATCACCTGACAAAAGCGCAAAGCTCACGAGAAGAAGAGCACAAAAGCAGACCGTATAAATAGCGCAGCTAGCCGACGAAGCACACAATGCTAGAGAAAGAGACGCAAAGAGAGGGAGGGGCAGAGAGAGCGAGAGATGGAGTTAAGTTTGTGATATGGCAACCGCATCTAATCGCTGCACTTCACGTAAATGATACGAAAATGTTTTCAAATTAAATACATTGGCGACGCTAACGATGACGTTGACAATGAAGGACAGCAGGAGGAGCAGGAGGAGGAGCAGGAGAAGAGCGTGGCCGAGTGGCGCTGGCAGCCAACAGTTTGCAGTTCACAGTTGGCCTACAGACTTTAGCCGCTGGCTGAGCCGAGTTGAGTTGAGTTGAGTTGAGTTGATAGTTGGCTGGGCTGCAAACGGGTAGCCTGAAGCGCGACACAATTTGTAGCCACTTTTGTTAACTGTAAAGCGGCCGTTGTTGCTGTTGTCGTTGATGTTTTTATTGTTGTCGGCCAATTGGGTCCACGCGTCGTATGAGCAATAAAATGCAGGCTTTAATGGGCTGAACAAACAGATACAGTTAATACGCGCACCGCAGCAGTTATGATGGGCATATCACATTGATTCAATTAGGGTCGATTTTCACTGTTATACAAACTGTTATACAGCTCACTTAGCTGAGATCTTGAAGCGCAAAGCATTGCGATTGAACTCTATCTAAATGTTGCCTAGGTTCTGTAAATTATATTAATATATGTATACCCCTATACAGCGTTCTACACATAATATCAATTTACAGCCAGTTCAGGTATATCATAGTCAATCATCTGCGCATGATTGCAATCAAATTGCATTTCCACAACTGCCAGCAAATACAAATAGTATTTTGTGCAAAGTATTTGCTATGCATGCCCAATCGGCTCTGCTGTCCTGTGGTCCCACTGTCCCACTGTCCTGTTGTCCTGTTATTTTGCTGTCCCAGTTGTGCAAGGGACTAACAGAGTTTATTGAAATAATTTACAGCAATAAAACTTGCAGTAATTGAACAATAAGGCTAACAATATTTGCAAAGAAATTATCAAATAAATAGTAAAGAATAGAATAAAAAAAAACACACAGAAAATAGTTTTTACTCAATTTCCACAAAACAAGAATTTCATATAAATATGAAAATAACAGTACAATAAAAAATACATAAATATTTTTGGCAGTTTATTTCAGAGGAAATTTTGCCTGGCACTTTTATTTCACATACAAGTGCAGAAATATTTGAAGTGCGTATGTATATATTTGAAAAGGAACGACAGAAGATAAACTCTAATGAATGGGGTTCATTGAAACCACAATTTATATTTCAGGCCAATTAAAATATTTTTCTAGGAAATAGAAGCAATGCTTGAGCATTGCTTTGACTAGTTGACTAGTTGATATACAATATTATACAAGCTCAATGCTCTTCATCAATTCCTTACACCAAATCAATGCTACACTGCTTGCTCTACACTAACACTATCAAAATCACAGCTCTTCTCTAATGCACTACATCAGCGCTCTACCTATCTTCACTCTATGCCAATGCTCTCGATCATCATGAATGCTCTACCCCAGTCTGCACTCTATATCAGCACTGCTCTACACTAATGCACTACATCAATTCTCTACAGCAAGCTCTGCTCTACACCAATGCTCTCGATCTGTTGATCGGTTCCATACAACAATACTCACTACACTAATACTCACTATGAAAGTCAGTGCTCTACACTAAGGCTCTACATCAATGCACTACATCAATGCTCTACTCGAATCTTCGCTCTACACCAATGCTGTCGATCAACATCTTCACCAATCTGCACTCTATTTCAATGTCTTACACCACTGCTCTACACCTCTACATCTATACTCTCTATGAACATCAGCGCTCTACACCAATGTACTATATAAATGCTGTACACTCATCTTTGCTCCACACCAATACTCCCGATCAACATCAATCTTCACTCTACACCAATGCTCTACATTACTCTGCGCTCCACATCAAGGCTCTATCTGCCAATACTTTCAATCTGTTGCTCGCTGCTCTACACCAATGCTCTACACCACACTATATCTACACCAATGCTCTACACAAATTTACACTCTACACCAATGCTCCACATAACTCTACGCTCCACAACAATGTTCTACATCAATACTCTACCTCATCATCAGAGCTCCACACCAATCATTCTATCCTCTCTACCAATACTCTACACCAATGCACCGTATCAATACTCCACATCAATGCGCTGCACCAAAAACTCTCTTCAATGCATTAACAGACATCTCAAGCTATCTTAAGTCGACTCTGCATATAAATCAAGCATAAATTTGCTTCTGGCGTCAACTTTGCCTCGTGGCAGATTATTTCACAGCTTTAAATTCTAATAAATTAGATAATATATGAATATTCACTTTTTAAATGCAATATTGCCAAATGGCAACAGCTAAGCCTAAACAAGCTATATTATTAAATTTGATGGGAATTTATAAAATGTTGCTACAAAAACCAAAACTCAATGGAATTATAAGAGATTTAAATAAATGTATTTATGTATACATTTTATATATGTGAGGCAAGCAAATGTTTTTGCCACGCCCACTTGATGATGGTGAGGACGTGCGTATGTGTGTGTGTATGTGTGTCTCTGTCTGATTGTTTGCTTGCTTGAGCTAAGCCACACACAGCAATGCATATGCAAAGCACTTGTCAGCCTCAACTGCAGTTGCAATTGCAGCAGCAGCAGCAGCTACTGTATCTCATAGATACGCATTCGCAATTCTCATCATATTGTATGAGAAAGTGTGCTTAATTTAACTGCTGCCAGCGAGACGGTGTCCTGCGCCCCCGCTCCCTCGCTAGATGATTTAAAATGTGCATAATAAGCGGCACTTGGAGAAAAATATACCAAAAAAAAAAAAAAAGGAAAAGAGAGATAGAGAAGAAGAAGAAGATGGAACAGCAGAGGCGGAAAGGCAAGGCAAATGTGTAGTGAGCGGGGCGTGGTCGGGCGACAGGCGTTGCATACATTTGAATCGCAAAACTAACAAATAAATAACACGAGCAGCAGCAGCGTGTGAGAGAGGGAGGGCGGCAGAGCGGGGGAATGGAGGCAGCGGCATGTGTAAGACAAACAAACGGGGCAGACAAATGGCAAAGGCATCGGACAGCAAAATCTTTTTTCAGCAAATGTTAAGAAAAACATATTCAAATTTAAAATTTCTGCTTGATTTTCTTCTTCGCCAAAGCAAAGCCCCGCTCACTGCTGCCCCTTGCCCTGCTCCCCGCCTGGCCTGCTCCAACCTATGCGCCATTGTCATCGTCGACGTCGTCGTTTGCATTTTGCCAAAACAGCGCAACGTGGAACTTTTCACACATGTGCGCTGCGAGCGGAGGAGGAGGAGGAGGAGTGAGAGGAGTCGGAGGAGTCGCGTCGGGGCTGAGTCTGAATATTTTGCCATACACATACATATGTATGTGTTTACAGTTAGCGGGCGCCAAACCAAGGTGTCGCCGTGCACCCAAAATCGTTTCAGCGTGAATACATTTACGCCACAGTATCTGTAGCTGCACACCGAGAGAGAGCGAGAGAGAGAGAGAGAGAGAGAGGGGGAGAATGAAAGAGATGGAGACAGCCAAGCAAAATGGCGAAATGTATTCGCATTTTCGCAAACGCGCTGCATTAATTACCGCAGCAGCAGCAGAATCCTCCTCTGCACGTATGAAACGATCCATTCACCGTGTCCGCCCTCGCCCACGCCCCCGCCCACGCCCTCGCCCTCGCCCACCTGGCAGGTGCCTTTGGGGCAACGTCGTCGTCGAGCTCGGTCAGCGGCTCGTTCGCTCGTTTCGGCGTGCTGATATGTTAAGCTGCATTTTGGCTTACAAAAATATGGAAGAGCGGGTGGGCGTGGAGCGGTTGGGCGTGGCAATGGTAATGGCAATGGGGCAACTGCCATGGAAATCCTTTTTACCTTGTTTGGACATTTTGTGATGTATTACGTAAGTGCGGCTTTTGTGGCAGACTTTTGTATGCGATATATACTCTATATATATACATATATATCTATATATATATATGTATGTGTATGCAATTTTCTATAGAGTATCTCAAGAGAGATTGAGAGAGGGAGGGGGAAAGGGAGACTGTTGCAAAATGGACAACAAAACTTGGCGAATGGTATGCGTAAAATTGGAATGCTTAAATGATAAAGCGAAATGTTTGTTGTTATTGTTGTTGTTGTTACTGCTGTTGCTGCTGCTGTTGCTGTTGCTGCTGCTGCTGCCTTTAAGTTGGTAACACAAATATTTTGCATAATGGTCTTGGGATAAGTGCTGCGCACAGATACAAGCAATGATGGCAATGATGAATGTGCAAATCAATGGGTGTCTGCAACGGGGAGGGGCGGGCAGGGGAGGGGAGCGTGCGAGCATTGCGTGACTGTATATTCACTAAGTGGAATTGAAGTTTCTTTAAAATTGATCAAATACTGCTGAGCAGCATGCCCAGCCGAGTTGTTGACTCGCACTGCAGTTGGGTTCGATTTAAATGCTTTAACCCTTGCCAATAAGCTGAAAGCTTTTCTTCAGCCAATTTTGTATGCAGCTGCTCTATATATTCACTTGAGTTTCAATTATACTTAAAGCAAGTTTTCATAGTTAGACAGCACTGGAAATGGAGCCAAATTAAATTTAATGCAATTCACAGTGGTTTAACTGTTTTTTTTTAAGGTTTTTTCCAACAGTTTCTTAAGTGAGCTAAATAAATATTTGAAATTACTTTTTTTTTTTAAATCATTATAATTTATGTTTTATAATTTTGCAGCACTTAACAAGGGTTTGCATTGGAAATGATCAAGTCTATAGATTTAAGGACTCAGGGAATACAAATTATTTTCAAGAATACCCTGATAAAGTTATATGAAATGTTTGATATACTTAGGATATATTTAAGATAAAAGATAACCATCATTTTTTGGAAAGTTCGTAAATGAAGCTACATATATTGTTAGATAAAGAGCTAGAATATCGATAGAACCATTACGGCTGGACTAGACTAGACTGAACTGAACTGAACTGAATTGAGCTGAACGAAATTGAACTAGACTACATAGATAGAGCTAGAATCAACTGAACTGATTCTGTACTGGACTCGACTGAACTAAAGTGAACTGGACTAGAATGGAGGAAACTAGAATGGGATAGACTAATCTGAACAGAACTGAACTGGAGTAAACTGGGTTTGTAGAGCTGGGTTTGAGTAGAGCGAACCGAACTGAACTGAACTGAGCTTAACTGAACCGAACTGGACTAGACTGAACTGAAATGAACTGTACTGAAGTGAACTGGACTGGATCGAACGGAACTGAACTGAGCTAGACTGGGCTGGACTAGACTAGGCTTGCCTGAACTGAGCTCTCAACTCTACGAACTCAATATTTCAACGAAATCACAGTCTAACCCGTTGGCTTCTACATTTCGTCACATACTATTCAAACTGTTTAACTATTTAAGCTATTATACTTCATTAAACTTAAGCACTCTTAAATAGCTTTACTTCAATTTCTAACTTCCTTAGTTCCCGGCTTAGTAACACCAAACTTAAACGAGTTACCCAACACTGGCAATCTTTGCAAGTTGTTAACTGCTCGTTAGTTTAAGCTCTGTTCCGCTTGACACGAAACTCATGTCATATGATTTCTCAATCAATGAAAACGGAGGAGCTCATCAGGAGCTCCACGCCAACTGCAGCTCGAGTTTTTATTTGTTTGCAGTGCCAGTGCCGTGCCGTGCGTAATGTTTACCAGGCGTGACAACTTAAGCGCTTTCTGTTAACCATATTTATGACTCTGGCATATAGTGCGATGGCTATATAAATCAAAAGCTTTACCCAACTCCATCTATCATAGTGGGTTACGAGCACAGACTCCATCTCTCTCTCTCTCTCTCTCTCTCTCCCCTACTCGCTCTCTCACTCACTCACTCACTGTTTGGTGCTCAACCATTTGCATGCACAAAAACGAATTAAATGCGCATTTGCAGCGCTCAATTGCAGACACTCGAAACTAGTAGAAGAAGAGCCCGAGCCCAACTAAGACCACCTACGAAAGCACAGCCCACTCAGTCACCCGCCGCCCCCTGTGGCCCCATGCAGTTTGCCTGGGCAAGTTTAGCAAGCATTTCACATCCAATTACAGGAGCCGCAAGGATGCAAGCGACGCCAGCTCGGTTCGCTCGGGTCGCTTTGGGCATTGTTATGTTACCATAATCCCAAGGATAAACGATTAAGGAAACCAAAGCGTGAAACTAGGCGAAAGTAGAAGCAGCTACGCTAGCAGCAGCAGCAGCGGCAGCAGCAGCCGAGCAGAGCAAATAAAAAAAGAAGAGAAGAATAAGAAGAAGCAGCTGCGCTCACCTTTACCTTTACCTGTAGTTTTTCGCTAGAAGTTGGAAGTTGAAGTTGGCGCCTGCAGCTGCTAGCTTTTTTTGGGCGAGGGCAGGGGAGGGGAGGGCCAAATTGAAGGCAGCCAAGATGCAAATTGGAAATAAAAAGAAGGAAAATATAAAAAAAAAAACGCAAGAAAGAAGAGCCGAAGAGAGCAGAAAAAAAGCAATGAAAACAGAAACAGCAGCCAGCTCGCTGGAGCAACGCATCCGCGCGGCCTGTCGGCAAATTCAATTCAAATTTTGTTGAGCATTAAAATGCGGCTGCTGGAAAAAGAAGGAAAAAAAAAAAAGTTGTTGCTGTAGCTTACGCAGGCCGACGCCGGCTGGGAGGTGGAGGCGGAGGCGTGGCACAGGAAACGCGCCGCGAAATAAAAGTGATTGTAAGTGGCAGCAGGTTGTTGGGCGGCACAACAACAAAAGCAAAAGCAGAAAAAAACAACGAGAAATATAAAAAAATAAAAAAATTTATGAAAAGATAAAAGACGCAGGCGTTCATTCAAAACATAACACAGGTGAGGACAAGCGCCAAAGCCAAGCAATTTTAAATGCCTGCTACAAATACACGCACACACACACAGGCGCAGACACACACACTGGCACACACACCGACTCCATGCAGCGCTGTGAGGACGATCAACGCGTCGGCTGCTGATGGCATCGTCTGCCACTTGAGGCCGCATTACTTCAACTTTGAAGATGCTCGAACGCGCTGCACGCCGGCGACACCTAGCGTGCGCAGCTGGAAGCACAGCCGCACACAGCCCGCTACCCGCTGCCCGCTGCCCTATGCCACATGCGGTGGCTGCGGCTGCTGCTGCTGCTGCTGTGTAATATGCAAACAGATTTTTTTTCATTTACTTTCATTGAGCTGTTGTTGTTGTTGTTGTTGGGCGGCAAGCCATCCACACCCAGAATT